AGATATCAAAATATCAAAAGATATATCCAAGAGTTCTAATCTTTTTTTTATTTCTATTTCCCTAAGGAAACTTATCAATATCAATCTCAATCCCACATGGGAATATCTCAATCCGACATGGAAATATCTCAATCTCACATAATATTCGGCATATCTCAATCCGACATGGAAATATCTCAATCTCACATAATATTCGGCATATCTCAATCCGACATGGAAATATCTCAATCTCACATAATATTGGGCATATCTCAATCCCACATGATATGGATGAATCTCAATTCGTCCCACAAAATATGGGATTTCCATATATGGGTGATTTTTGGATAGCACCAAATCCAACATATATATATTACATAACGTGTGAGGTCGGGTAGAGTCAAGGCCAACCCAGACCTAACCCAACTTGATTAGGTCATCTAGACAAATGCCTAACCTTACTCGACTCTCGGGTTTATATATTTAGACCTAAACCTAACCCACCAAGCCTAAAAATCATACCATAGCCAAGACCAAAGTCAGGTCAACCATTGGGACTATGCGTTGACCGGACCTGATTAAGAACCCTACCTTTGCAGTAAATGGGTCGAGTGGACAGGCCCTAAAAAATTAGGGCTTAGGCCACAAAATGTGGACCAGGTGCCCAGCTGGGCAGCCGGGCTTAGGCCAGGGCCGGCCCAGCTAGGCTCTTATTTTCCTTTTTTTTTTTTAGAACTTTATTAGCTAGCCCCATCTTGGCCCAGCTAGGCCCTTATTTTCTTTTTTTTTTTTTTTTTAGAATTTTATTAGCTAGCCCCATCTCAGCCCCGCCCTAATAGGGTAGTGATCGAGCCCGACCCTAGGTCAGGTGCTCAGGGGAATAGGGCCAAGATTGGCCCGACCCGTTGCCAGTCCTATTTTGCGGTTACCTAAGATCTTCTATAAAAAGGAGGAGAGGATAAATGTAAAAGACTTGACAATTGGTGAGTGATTGGTGACGAAGTAGAATCACGAAATATGCAAGACCATTTCAAAGTTCGTTTGTTAAAGAAAGAAAAGAGAGAAAGTGAGATCATCTAAGAAGTAAAGGAAAGAATTGCTGACCAAAATGGCAAGGTACACGTCGTATTTTATTTTCACATTTTCCATCTAAATTTCTTACTTTCCATTGCACCGGAAGGGCGGAGAATCAAAGGTATTCTCTTTACAATGTAATTCAAGGGGTATCGATTCATGCCCAATGAGCATCTAACCTTGAACTCTAGGGTGTAAATGGGTCGGGTCAACGCGACCTGGTCCTGATCTAATCCTTGTTGGATTTGGACCAATGTCGGGTCGAAGTTATTGGACGCCATCATGTGTGGATCAGAATAAATAATAATAATAATTTGTATTTATATATTTTATAATGGGTGTAGTTTGCATAAAGTTGCAACCTTAAACAATAGAAGTAATGTGCACCACCAAATTTTATCATAAGATATACTTTTAAGGGCAACCTTTTTATGCTTCCCCTACAGCATAAAACTTATATACTTCCCCCTATCCAACCGTCCATTCTGAATGGAGGGCTAAGATTGTCCAATCACAATATCACATCTCTATACTATTATTTTTAATTTTTTTTTATAAACTATTTTGACACCAAATTTTGCAGGGCTAAGATTGCCCCAATCACAATGTCACATCTCTACACTATTTTATTTTTAAATTTTTTTTATAAACTATTTTGATACCAAATATTGGACGTCCAATCCTCTATTAAATTCGCACTATTAAAAAATACAAAAAAAATATTTCTAATAAAATAAAATGACCAAAATACCCCTAAAATTTTCAAAGGGTATTTTGATCATTATATTTTATTGAAAATTTATTTTTAATAT